TTTGAAGAAGAGTGAGCTAGAATATCGCCGGATAAAACAACATATTCACATAAGGAGTTATAACACATAGACAAATATTACGCGTTCTAAACAGATATGTGACCCTTTTGTGCCAAGGGTTGGCCTACCGATTTGAGGGATGTATACGTTATTTGAAAATCGTATACATCCTTCAAATTTAAACATATAAGTATGAACGTCCGTTTAGGCCGTGGGCCATTTTGGACTCAAGGCGGTCTTCTAATGGGCGCGACACTCCTAGAGTGTCGAGTCGTCTTAGGCCAATGCGCTATTTTTCGGGATTTGGTTCCTCTCTATCCTAATTTGACTAAGAGTGGGTTGTATTTAGAGTGGAATGGGTAACCCAAGCGGACTACTTGGGCTGGGACAATTAACGATCGTTGACTATCAAGTAATCAACTACACTCGTCAGGGTGCCCCGAGAAGATTTTTGGTTAACGAACGACTGCGAACCCGCATAATCGTCCTTTAGTGGAAATGTAATAAGTGTCATTTGACGGAAGTATGTATGTTATGCATGGAACAATTTAAAAATCTGAAGAATTTAAACACTTAAACAATTAATAACAAATAATCAAACATGTTAATCTATGGTTAGAATCCTCCAAAGTCCCCAGCGGAGTCCCCATTTCTGTTTTATCGAAAAAGGTGATTTTCGAAAAGAGTTTGTTTTTAGACTTTTAGGAGTCGCCACTTAATTTTTAAGAAAAATCAAGAAAACTTCGTTTCTAAATAACTTAAACAGAAAAATTATTTTGAAACATTTTAAGGGTTCGGGATTCCTATTAGTATCTTAGGAATGTGTAAGGCACCTAAGACACTCCGTTAAATACGGTTTTCCGACGATTAACTTATTTGACTATTTTGTTTTAACTTTTGCGTATTGAAGTTGAGCTTATTTCATTACAAGTTTTGTAACATTTATGGTTCTGATATTCCGTTAAAGTTAAACCTTTTAAATTATAACTCTAAGCAAACTTGTGAATTGACATTTTATTGTTTTGAGATTCCGTTTTAGTTTTTGAGTTCGATAAAGCGAAAGGCGTTCGGTGGGATTTGGAGTTTTCTAATCCTAGACTAACGGCACTCAAAAAATAAAAATATAAACAAGTAGTGAAACAAGAGAGAGAGAGAGAGATTTGAGTCCAAGTTTTCGGGTTCTGTTCGCCTTGACCGAAACTTGGACCCACCTGCTTTTGGGTTTTTTAACCCATTTTTCACCTGTCCTAATCTAAACATATAAAATAAATACAAGAGAAATAGAAAAACGGAAAATAATAAGGGCTTATGCCTATTACAAATAAATACAGCGAAACAAAAATAAGAACAGTCTTCTAATCCGTTTTTGGGTTTTTCTTCAATCTTTCCGGAATTTCAAACTTGCACACTTGTCTTGACGGAATGACTCGAATGAAGGCTTTTGAGCCTTTGTGGCTCTTCCGAAAGGCCAAAAGAGGAGGGGAGTCCCAAACGGACTCGAGAGAGGTTTTCACATGCCACAAAACAAAGGAAATGAGAATCATCATCTTTAAAAAAAATAGCTAGAGTAAATCAAATCACAAGGACAGCAAACCAGCATCCAACAATTTTAATGACAATTTTAAGGCTAGGTAAAATCATTTCAACTCAAGTGATGCCACACAACAATACATTAAGATATACCGCCAATCCAAAAATGGAGAAATCTTTACACGAAATTATTGACAACCCCACTTCGTTGAAGAACAGACTTATCAAGAAAACAAGTAACTAAGTGCAACTGAAATGTACCAGGTTGTTAACACCCAACTAATCATTTGTGCTTCAGAAACTAGAACATCTCTCACTTAAGTTTTAGAGAGATTTCACCATAATGAAGGAACACAAAATCATTTAGATCAAGGCTAAGAACAAAAAGAACTAAGGACTGCATACGAATTCAAACTGAAGATTTTGACGACAACAAAAGTACGAAACCTAAACATTCAACTACCAACCACCAGAAATTTCGACGAAGCGTCGAAACGAACGATGAAGAAGATGCTCAAGTAAACGGCGGGTATTTCTAGCATGAAACGTACATAAGCAGCCAAACACTTAAATGCGATAGCGAAAACAGTAACAAAACAAGGGAGACCAACAACGGAACACCATTTCTCATTCGACGTCGAAACAGGACGTGACTCAACGAACAGCAACCAAACATTTAAACATGAGGAGAAACCGAAATGAAAACAGAGGAATAACAGTCTGTGAACAGCAAAAAATCAAACGAGAAACTACCCCGTACATCAGATTCTGCAGAGACCAAACATGCTAAATACATTCGCGACAAAACATATCCGAGATGGAAGGGAGATTACCTCTTCGAAAGCAGCGAAACAGGGACGGGTACGAGCAGGGGAGCGACAAACCTTCCACCCTCAAACGGAAACATGAACGCCTAGTGTCGGAATGAGAGTCGTGGAATCGAACAACTCGCTAATCCCTTTTGGAACTTCCCGACCCTCTGGAACACGTTTGATTCTAAAGAAAGAACAGGCCAACGGATTTTCTCTCGATTTTTCACTCTCTTCTCTGTTAAAGTTTTTTCCAAGTTTTCTAACCAAAATTTCCAACCTTTAAATTTCTAACCCCCTGAACGTCCAACGAAAATCTCCAACCAAAAACGTCCCCCTGTTGTCCTTCTTCAACAGACGAGAACAAACATGTTTTTTTTCAAAATTCTCCCCCCCCCCCCCAAATCTGAAGAGGAAGGAGGTTTAAATAGAAGATTCTCAGGGTTTTGGTTTTGGGGGGTGGGTGATACGATTTTCCGTCCATTCGAATTTGAAATTCGAATTCTCTCCCAAAAGCTGAAGAAATGCACGGAAAAGGGGAAAGGGAGGGTCGAGATGCGTTCGACGTCCTTGTGAGCTACGTGGCGCAATCTCGTTGTCAAGGACAACTTTTCAACCTTCCAGACCTGCGCGAGAAACGACAAGGGAAGATGCAGGTTTCCGTTGCGGACTCTTTCCATCCACGCGCGATAAAGAGAACGAGAGGAAGACGAGACGCGTGAGGGAGAGAGAGGGCGTGGGCTGCTGGGAATCGAGAGCGAGTGTGGGCGTGAGGGAGACGCGTGTGGGGGGAGATACGAAGAGGGGGGGTCGCATTTTCTCTTTTTGGGGCCTGTTGTTCTGCGTTTTTTTTTTTTGG